GATACGGACTTAAAAAATAAGTCTATTTATTTTACGGACCGAACTTATCCGGCCGTATAAAACACGGGTTTTACGGACCGGGCCTTAAACGGGCCGGACCGGTCCGTATACCCACCCCTAGTTGTAAGGCATGATAATCTCTTATTTCACAAAAAAAATATATATCATGGTTGTGGGACCATATAGAGTTTGCGAATCCATGCCATTTCAAGTACAAAAACTTCTCTAGCTTCAATTGTGGTGTGAGACCCTCTTATGAGGATATCATGTCTGCTTTCATCCCTTTGTAACTGTTTTTTGTTTGTTTGTAACGTATCCTTTGTTTTTGTTCATTTTTATTTTTTGTAATTTGGTTTCATAGAGATTGGTCGTGTATGTACTTTTTTTTATCAGCAAAACAACATTTCATTCATGAGAACATTTACTAATGGGTATAAGTGATATGTGAGACTCGTGGATGATATCTCATTTTCTTCCTCTCAACTCTCAACTCATTCTCACTCTCTTACACTCTTCTTCCCCATCAATTTCTGATTCCTTATGGTGACCTTGGTTTGAAGGTGTTGATTCTTAGAGTTTGGAGTTGCTGAGGTGTGGGCGTTCTCTTTTCTTCCCCATTCAAGCTCTTCTTCTCGTTCTTCTCTTCCCGGAGCTCGGATTCTTCATACCGAGGTAAGGGAATCTAGGTTTTTGGCTGTTTGGGTTGGAAATGAGTTCATAAACTCATTGTGTGGCTGATTTTCTGAGGATTGATGAGCTGTTGTGTTGAAATTCGTTTTTGGGGTTTTGATGGAAATTTTGGGGTTTTCTTTGATTTGAGGTTGCATGCTGGAAATAAGGTGTTTTTATTGATGCTTGCTGAGAATGTGATCTTTTGGAGGGTTTGCATGTGGATTTTCTAGTTGTTTTCGCAGGTTTTGAAGAAGCTTTCGAAAGTTATAGGGTTGCTGTTGGGTATCCCGCCGAGCGCCGTTCTTCGCGTCGGGCGCGTGACCACCAGGGGGCTCCATTTAAGCAAGCCCGCCGGGCGCAAAGTTGTGTGTGTCGGGCGAGCTTGAGAATGTGAGCCTCTAGATGGCTCACACCGGGCGTGGCTTGGACTGCACCAGGCGCGATATCAGTGTGTGACATGGTTTGGGGATTCTGGTGCCGCGCCAAGCGCGACCATGTCGCGCTGGGCGTGAGGACTCCTTGGGAGTCTCTGCCAAGGGGGCGCCGGGCGCAATTGGTATTGCGCCGGGCGCGAGACCTTAGGAGGTCTCTAACTTCCCTGCGCCAAGCGCAGGTTTGGGCACGTCGGGCACGTGAGACTCCTCAGAGTCTTTTCCTGGATTTGTGTTGGGCGCAATTGGTATTGCGCCAGGCGCGTTTGAGCCTTGGGCTCTCTGGTTGGGTCACGCCAGGCACGAGCACTCTTGCGCCGGGCGCGCTGAGCCCTAATGCTCTCTGATTGTGCCACGCTGGGCGCGACCATGAGCGCGCCGGGCGCAGAGATGATATTTGATGTTTAGCTGTTATGTGTTAAATTATGTTGAAATTTGCTGATAGATGTTGTGATATGCTGAGCTGAGCTGTAAATAATAAATATTGTTGTGCTGACTAGTTGATAATGTTGAATTATGATCTTGAGCTGTAGTTGATGTATATTGTTGTGCTGTAAGTTGTTTAGCTATGCTGTGTT